CCATTCTTGATAAAGTGTGGAGCTGCAGAACATCCAATAGCGCAGGATTGAATACTGGAGCATATTGAGAGAGGAGGGGACAGGCTCGCAAAGCACACCTATCCATCTGAACCCAATTCTCAAACAGATTCAGAATGAATATGCTCATTTGCTCTGGATCAGAATCATAAGCATCTCCGACTTTGATCAACATCTCGCATATCAAGTTTGCTGTTTGTATACAACGAGTTGCAAAATCTCCCACTGAATCATCTAACGATATCTTTTCTTGCTCGGTGTTTTTCTCCAATCGAACCAACGAGAAGTAACGGTCAGTGAAATCTGTGAAGTCTCTTATAGAACTATCATCTAAAAGAGAGATATGAACAGATGTCGATTTTCTCTGCCGATTAGATTCTAGAGCAAGAAGATTGCAGAGATACCCCCTGCTGTTTGGGAGAAGAATATTTAAAGCCTTCTTGTCCGCGTGAGTTGGAAGCAGCGGAATAGACCGAGTGATATCTGTCTTAAAGTCTGCCCAGGCTGACTCAATCTTATCTGTAGTGTCCTTGATAGTTCTCTTTAACATCGTATTGATCGAGTCGAAAAAATTCTTGTGAACGGTTGAATCACGGTAAACACGAGCTTTATCCATCTCCAACTTTGCAAGGCGGCGGCACAATTTGGCTCTGAGGATCACAATCATTTCTGGGGAAAGCTGACTAGCAGATTGTTCAAGAAGCTGTGCGAGAACAATGCAAATGAGAAATTTGTAGCAGATTTGTCCATACTTGTTTCCTAATTCAAGACAAAGCTGACGTTGAATGGCGACTCGGAGAACGAGCCAGAACGGCAGCCTTCTCCACGGAAACTCTGAATTATGAAAATTGACATCATCCCGCACTCGCTTTCTTAACCTAGGCACTTCGACTGAGGATCCGATAGCCTCGAGCAGGGGCATCAGCATCTGCACAATCAGAGCTGGATCGGTTGTACCCCGAGCCTCGATAACATAGACTTCTGCTTTATTCGAACGCGCCACAAAGCGACTTAATGACTCTGTACTCGCCTGCTCAAGAAATGAGGCAAGGCTATCCTGGAAACTTGTTTTAAGAAATTCATCGAAAGGTATGCGGACAGCACGACCCGGGAAGTCCCATTGTAGTGTATTCTCAGTAGCGAGCACATGTTTGGAAGAAGGCGATGCCTCAAAAACTTCAAAGATCACAGTGTCTTTGTCATCACTGCATATTATAAATTAGCTGGAATTTTTCTGGTCGCTCTACTTGAGTTCCAATACTTACTGAACATGGCGTCGAACAAGTAGTGCTGCATTCTGCTCAACCACATATATGATAAGAAGAATGTTTCGTTGGAGATTACAGAATTCTTGTAGCATCGATGCTTTATCAAGACCATTTCGATTTATATTGAGACAAATTTGAAGGGAATTGCAAACAGAGGTCCATGTTTCTCCAAAAGGCTGGTCAGTGAAGTTGCACATGGTACCACAGGCACGTGTGAGACGAAGCAGAATGTCCTGCTCAATACTTTCCAAGTCTACATCCTGATGTTCTGGAAGCTTGGGTGGTAGAACCAAGTGATTGAAAACCGATTCCAGTAACTTCATAGTCACTAATGGATCTCGAAATAATTCACAAGGTAGAATAGGGAATGTTGTATGCTTTCCCAACTATGTGATCTAATGAGTAGAAGTATGTCTTCACCATGTTTATTCAAAAAAGAATGAAAAATGTAAATGAATCATGCATGTAATATTAATCGCATGCTGACAAGAGTATTTCTGCTGTCTCCAATCATTTCAACTACATGAATGCATAGTCCAAAAAAGATTCTTTTTGCATGGAGAATAACAGAATACTTAGTCGCCACTTACAGATGATCTATTAATTGCTGGCGATATACAAGCAGACTCGTGGGTTTCAACTTCTTCAAACTCTGCTTCAGCTTTTGTTCTAATCGTTTTCCATATTTCGCGTTTAGTTGTCAAACTTCTACTTATAATTTATAAATTCAAGTGGTATCATTACTAAACTAATCTAAATGTGCAAACATAAACATACATTCATTTACGGATTCTGAAGAGATACAGAGAGGGAATAGTAAAATATCTCGAACTTTGTGTATCAGCCATTCTTTCTCTTAAGAAATTGCATTAAAAAGTTGTGGTGATATATTTGCGACCTTGATAGTTGCATCTTAAGTAAGAAAAGAGCAGAATAGACGACTAGCTAACCACACTATTGATTTGAACTTCTTGTTTCGATCGACATCCTCATATTAGTAAATTTGATGTTTATGAAGCAGTTTTTGAATGCAAGACCAAATCTGAGTTGAGGACACAACATCTGCTGGACAAATGAGTGAGCAAGAGTGACATACTTAAGCGACCGATTATCGATTCTGTGGTATCAAAAACAGGTGTCTGCTGATGATAGGTTACCAATCGTAGATTTTTCTTGATTCGGCAGACGACTATACAATTAAGGCGTCATGTATAGTCCCATAAATTCTTTTGCATTCGTTTATGATTGAGGACATAATAATTCTCTCGTAGTTTGTGATGATCGTTTTGCAATTTAGGAGATGGTGCGATGGGAAGTAATTCTGGTCCCCATCAACATAGATAGATCAACTCAGTCAAAGCAGCATTGAGAATGCAGATAAACCGTCGCCTTCTCTCCGATGTCTTCAGATTTTAATCATATATAGATGTACCTTTCACTGATGCAGTCCTTGCTCATCCAAGGAAATTCATCAAGTAGAAAAGAGGAGCAGATCGCTCGATTCAAACGATAATTCGTTCCCAATCTTAGAATTCATAATTGAACACAAAATGAAGCTTGCTGTTTGATCGAACCAGGAACAGTGACTATATGGCTTTTCTTTACTGGGTCTCAAATCGAGGTTCGCACGTGAGAGATTGTTCTTGGTGTAATCCAGGGTTAAGACTTGTCCTGGGATAGGCGCAAGAAGAGTACGTGATTTATACTACTGGCTGGCTAATTGAGTATTCTATGTGTTGTGCTAAGAATGTTAGTATCACGGTTCCCGGGATAGGGTATAAGCACAAGGTTAGATATATGATATTCTACGAAGAGGGGAAGAAAGTGCGCCATATAAGGGCACTGGTGACTAGGCATCCAAGACTAACTACTCTAGTCAACCCGTGACAAGTAGCTTGCCTGTCGCTCAACTGTGTAAGGTGATTCGTACTACCTCTCTGTACCTTATTTAATAATAAGAAAAAATTCCCAAGAAGGGGAATCTTTAATCAAATAGAACTTAATGTTACAGTTGAATTGTTGAATAATCAATCAACATTATTATCTACAGACAGAAATCAAAGCACAAACTCCTGGTCAAGTCATCTGCCGGTTTTGCTGACAATAGTCCTGGGTTTTATGGAAGCTCAACATAACGAGCAGAGATTCTAAGCTGTACGTGACTCTCCCTCATAAACTATCATCATATACAAACAGGAGGGAGAGGAGAGCAATATTCTCAGCACAAGTAATGGCATGAAGTGCTATTAGACAGGTTTCAATTGATACAGCCTGGACTATACAATTTGAAAGGGTACATAAAGATTTTACAGCTTTAACGCATGTGTTGAGTCATTTTCTGGATTTTTTTGATGGTGTCAAGATTTTCTCACTATCGGAGAATGAGGTTATATTTCTTGATGTAAAATGATGTGATGTTGTGTAACCAATATTTCGGAAACATCCTATTCCATCGAATCATATGGTGATACTAAGTGCAATCTTGTTCAACCACACCACCTCACTATGGATTATTCCAATTCAAACTCACGACGCTGGTATGGTGAACTTGAAGGCACATTCGGTCTGCGTTTTCCATCACATCACTTTGGAGCCTACATCAATCTTTTACACTGTGATCTTCAGCTTGAGATTCCCCCCTCTTGCCAACTCTCATTTACTCCACACTAATAGCCCTTAGCTATAAGGCAATTCAACATGCGTTCGATTATTTCCAAATTTAAAAGCTACCTATATTCTCGCTGGTTGTGTTTCCTGATTGCAAGAGATTTTCGCAGCTATTATTTAGAGTGATGAGAAGGGCAGGAACAAGGCAATAGATACAGTTCTTAACCGTTCCTATCGCCGCAAGCGGAGCACCTTGAAATGGTCTAAGTTTTTGATTTTGTCTTGGTGGTTAGGTTGTTGGAAATTACTGGATGTCATAATCGGCTAGGTGCGGGGAACCCAAAAGCTATTCGAAAACCTTACACCCCGCTTTCATGATTGGCAACTTGCTGCCCATAAACATATAGGTATATGTGCACATGTAAAGTATGAAGATGTTATTCATTTTAGAAATGATTGTCTACTTTAGTGCAGTTTGATAATGCTTACATCTGACGCAACGTGTACTGCGAGCAACCAAATCGAATTCTACATCGAAAAACTAGGATTGTTGAATATGACGAAAATATGTGATTTTATATACCCCCTTCAGAATTACGCATAGAATCTTCACACAGATATTATATTTAATCATCGGCTGAACTCACCGCTATAGTTGAGGAAGTTGGACATCGATAGTATTCATTGTCGGACAGAGACTTATCTTTCTTACATGGATAGCCTCCGCTCATTTGGGGACGTTTTGGACACAAAGATCCACAAGCAAGTAGTTGATCCATTTACTATCAATACATTACCTAATTTAGTTAGTAGCCGAAGCAGGATCTACAGGCGCCTTGCTCTCGCTAGTCCATATGTAGTATTACAGCCTTAAACATTTCACTAGGGAAATCACTTCGAATAGTTACATAATCAGCATATACTACCTTACTATATAGAACTTTGCACTTATCAGCTCAATACTGCAATAATTTCATTGCTTATCAGTTAAAATCACTGGAATTGATTGTTTAATAACCTGCTTACAAGTTCTCGGTACATAACGTCACGTGCCAGTGTGTATCGGTTTTTGTAAAACATCAGTCGCGCGAGACGTAACAAACTTTAGTACTCCGAGCTTTGACTGCGGGGTAGGAGATCACCTCTTGTAAACAGCTTCCTTGCTCTCTCTTTTTACTTCTCCATTTCACAACTTTCATCCTCCACGCACTACCATTCAAGCCCCTTCACAATTTTTCGACGATATACATCATCTAGATTACTTCAAACATCTGTGTTTCAGAAGACTGGATATAATAATGGATATGTTTAAAGTAATCGTTGATTGCCTCTTCTGTTCGAATGACTATCACGAAAATCCTACATATTCTGCCATATCTGACAATAACCGGCTTGTACTCGGTACCAATGCAGCAGAGGAACAGACTGCCGAGCTCCTGCTTTCAACATTGCTTACTTCCGAGAAGTTGGGCAACGATCTTGAGACTCGTCTCAAAACTATCGTCAAGGACAGCGGGTTAGTACATACCAACGGTCTCTGGTACGAAGGACTTGCGAAGATTCTACTTAAACGATTTGAAATTTTACTCGAGGGAAGAAATAGTGCGAATCTCACTGGTGCCATCAAGGAGTCATTCGACAAAGCTGAGCGTACCGTCAAAGATTTTATTCACAACCATCCTATTCTCACAGCTGTTGCTGTTACACTCCTTGTGCTTGGGCTGTTCATGTATGCTGCGCCTTGGGCGGTTCATGCACTTGGATTTACTTTAGATGGACCTCTTGAAGGTATGTTGTATACATTAAACGCTTGCTAAATCACATTCTGATACTTTCTCTCCACAGGCTCCTTTGCCTCTGGGTGGCAATCTGCAATTGGTGATGTCGAGGCGGGGAGCTGGTTCGCTTTTTGGCAAAGACTGGGTATGACATGGGGGAAATAATGAGGTATCATAGTACTATATCATATGGAAGTGTTTATTAGGGTGTGGTGGTATGTACCAGACTTCAGGCGGGATATCGACCGTGTTATAGCCAATAAAACAATAGTATTACAATAGTAAATTCATAGTGGAAATATCCCCATATAGATAGACCTTCCCGAGTCTCCTAAGGACCCCGTTAATCTATCCATGGGCTCCACTATGTTCATTCTTGTTACACAATGCATATTCACTGTTGCTCTTTAGTACTTCTATAACGGTCTATTATTGCCACTCAAGTTCTAGTATCCTCTTGGAATTGATAAAGTATGAATAATTGTGCATCTACTTGATGGCATCAAGTAGATAACACGTGATTGATCTCTTAGGTAGGAATCTCGCTCCGAGCTTTAACTGTTAGTTAAAAGGAAACGACCCCGTACTTCCCATGATTACAATGCAGTTTCACAACATATACAATCACTTGCTAATCTGGTGGCTGTTCAGAACTGTGATCCAAACAAGCCTCACCTACACTGTATACGGCCTGGAAATGTATTTTTGTTTGATTTTGGAACTGCTGGAACTAATTCAATATCATCTGTCGCAGAGTATGCGTGCGTTCATTCCAGGGAACTGAATTTCTAATTTGACCTGTTAGTTAAGAGGCCCTGATTCTTCATTCTTCGCTGCTAATACTCTCGTTGGTCTTTCAACAAATCTCGTTTCAAGGTTTAATTCGAACCTTGTCTGTCTAACACCGCATCTACCAAGCGGAAGTTCCGGCAGTGGGGGTCGGAATCGATTTGATATTCTTCACTTTCTTCACTATATATCAATGCTTCTTCAAAGGGAAATTTCGTTATCAATTTATTTATACCGCTCGTCCGAGAATCAGACAGGTGCCGAGTTCCTTTCTCGCAGATAGTATGTGCCTTTCGAGATGCATTCAAGCTCCATCAAAGTCTGATGAAATAGTAGTCGAATAGTGCAAGCCTTCTACCATTCGTAACTAGCATCTCATCCGATTTCTTTTCAAGTCAACGCCTTTAAGTCTCTCCTCGCAAAGATCGAATTGCAATCCGATCCCAAATGCTAGCGCTCTATCTCACTGTTGAAACCACAAAAACATCCCAATTTCAAACGTTGATGCCAAAGTTGCGTAGAAACGCGGGCCATATGCCTACGTCCCGAGTCGTCCTGCCACTCTGCTCGCTCGAAGGTCTTTCTGGTTCCATCATCATGATATGGCATTCTTTGATTTGCCGTAATTCATGTTGTGATTCTTCGAGCTGCATCAACCATTCTTGGAACATTCTGAATTTTATTCATTAGTCTAACTCTCATATATGTATACCTTCTAAGATCTGTTCAAGAATTCCACGCGGGATTGTGAAACCACGCGAGCGAGAATGAAAGGTTTTTCTGTAGAATGGGAAATGTGCATGAAGATGAACATACTCGAGTTCTAAACGCTCGGTAGGCCATCGGCGCTCACGTAAAGTTTCAAGATGATGGCTGACACGCTGTCGATTAGAGCGGTTGTCTAATAGGCAAAATTCAAGGACAAGGAGTCGTTCAGGATAGGTGAGATGATTAAGGGTGTCGGCTAAACGGTATTTCTGAACACTGTCCATTTCGTTAGATTATGGAGAAGAACTGATGGTTCTAATAGAAGGGTTAGGATGCAGTCAGAAGTCTTGGTAAAGATTGAAGGATTAAGTGGCTGATGATTATCGAGAGATATCTTTAGGGTAGTAGATCAAATGGTTTGTTTCGAGACGTGATGATGACTAGAGGTATTTGTGCGAGGAACAAGGTTAGAACTTCTAAATTCTATTGCAGTCGAAGTCGAAGTCGAATATATATAGATATAGATAGGATCTTGATCTCGGTAGAAGTTTCAATACAATACAGAGCCGTAGTAGTTGTGGTAGTAGTGGTATTATTTAGTTCACTGTACGACTGAAAGAACCAATGATGATTATATTGATGCCAGAGGTTGTTGAAATAAGAAGCGAGAGACAAAATACAACGAACAACAAGCTAGTAGGCAAGTGAAATGAATGAAGAAGAAAGGGGAGGACGAGAAAGACAAGATCACAATTTGTCTTAACTCGCTATAATTGGCTTGACAACAATATTATTCAAAAAACAAAAAAAGCAAACATCCAGGTCACTTTTCGAGATCCTTCACATAGGTAGAAACCATAACCATTACGTACTCTTGTACTAGGATACTGTAGACAACATTCTATAGAATGAATTCATTAATGAACCTTCGCGAACATTCACTTCATATCAGTATCACTGTACCTATATCTATTTTTGATACGCTCTCTTCTTTGCAACTTTTACGGTCTTTATACACTTTACCTTATTTCAAAAACTCGCATCAAATCACTCCCCACCTCGTCAAACAAGACATAACAAATATCACACCCACTCTCTCGCGAGATCCTGTACCTCCTATAATGACATTTTTTCAAGGTCTATTGTAGTACTTTATGGTGATATACAGCAATCTGTACCAGTTTTATGTACAATAGAGCAATCTACAGCAATCTATGCATCTAAATGTCTCCTCTTATCCCACATGATCTCCTCTCAGGATACATCTTTGCACCTTATTCGCGAACTCTCAATAGTACGTATCTAACTATCATATACCCACCTAATAAAGATGCATTTTTATATACAGAATCTCCATGCTTGAAAGTTTTCTGTGTTGTAGATAATGTCAGCTACATTTTATGGTTTCCACAATGAACATTGAGATGTGCTTGATGAGCACTATAAGTGATGCCTAAATTCTACTCTTAGATCTTTTGAGGCTCTGGTTCATATCTTCGAGAGTGAAAATCATGAGTGTAGATATGAGTATGAAGAGTACTTGATAGCCTGGAATATAATTAAACAATGAAGGTTGTGAAATATACAATCCTATTAGAACATTTGAATGACTTGATATTTTGATATTTTTTACAAAATTTAACTCTATTGAGATCTTCAAGCATGATTAGATTTTCAAAACCTCATATTTTTGAACTATATTCTGGACTACTAGATACTCTATTTGATTTCTTTGGAGTTCATGAAGTAAGATGAAGAATATATATACAAATGATACAGGATTTGGATTCCTCCAGAAATAATTATTAGTACCTGATTTTTCCATAAACTTATTCCTTCAGATTCGAATTTTGAAATAAACATAATAACACTTGTATACTATATACTTCATGGATTTTAAAGACGAAATAATAAACGTTTACAAAGTAGCGCTCTATATAGACTTTTGAGAATCTATATTACCCTTGAAATCTATTAAGGTCAATGTTACTGTCCCAGAACTGAAGACAGGAACCCCCTTCAAAGGCTTAAACCTGAGTTATTGATTCATTAGGAGATTAATTTCACAAATGAAGTAGATGCCTAATCCTGCCTATTCCTCAAGATTTTTTCTTCTTTTATCTTTAGGTATATGTGTTTCAGCAGCTAGTAGCCTAATGCGATTGCTGCTTTTCTCTTCTAGTTCTCTTATTTATATCGCTCGTGCGGAGTTGTTTGTAAGTGTTAGCCGATTGATATTCGGGAATGGAGAATTACGCGCTGCTGTTCCAAGTCTGTCTGATTAATTTCAGTAGCAAGTTGGATTCGGGAGATGGAATTCGTCTAGGTATGTGATTGATACTAGATGAAAAGTATAGAGAACATCGGATCTTGAAGACCAATTGAGATTCAATACAATTACATGGGAACATTTGGGGTTTAGCTTAATGATACTACGAATGGGAGTTTTATTTGAAAAAAACTGAGGGTTCTTAGAAAAAAGAGAGAAAGCGAGGGAGAGCCAGTAAGACTACAAAACTGATCCAGGATTCTTATTCGTTTACTTGTGTATTCATTCAAATATCCTCTTATGAAAAACTTATAGACCGAGCTCCGGATTTTGTACATATTACTCTTCTCTCAAATAAGCAAATACTGACTATTCAGTTTTATTACATGTCTCAACTCCAGCCCATATCGAATCATTTTGATAGTAATGATAACAGAGGCTATCATTCACTTCAACCAGCGACCTTCTCTGATTACTATATATACTAATAGTATCTTGAATACATTTTCATCCACAACCCGGACAGATCGCATATCCTCCCAAGATCTCAAGACGGATGCTTTTTTAATCCTCTTTACCTTCTGCCTACTCGACTACTCTATCACGTAGCCACCTTTCACTTCTCACACCCCAAATCTCAGGGGCTCTCCCACAATACCCGAGCGCACATGCTCCTCGCAGAGTGGGTCTCCAACCTCAGATCCATATCCACTTTTGACTCATTCATATATCTCTCCCCACTCGTCCCCCTCCTTTCCATTCAGATCTTCCATAATCTTCTCGATATTCCTTGGATTTCCCCACTACCATTGAAATTTTGGCTATATTCTCAGATCCACGCTACACTCCCATCAAAAACGAATACAACAAAAAGGGCTTGTGGTTTAGTGGTATAATGTTCCCTTAGCATGGGAGAGGTCCGGCGTTCGATTCGCCGCTAGTCCAGTATGTTGAACTCTATCTGAGCTCTTCTTTTTTGTTCCTTGAGGAAAAGGAGGGAAAAGGGGGGAAAAGGGGGACATGAAGAGGCGGGGGTTCGGGTTTGGGTGAATGATGGTTTCATTTTTAGGTCATGCATTTATGAGTATTAACATGTTTAGATGACAAAGATAAAGTGTCTAGAGATAGGCTGATAATACATCTTTTGAAGTTGTGAATGTTGGTTGATGATAATGTCTATCTAGGTACCTACATAGCATTTTTTTCTTATTGGCCAGCTTGCTTATTATTTCCCCGTACTCAGCAAATAGGGTTGGAAGTAATGTCGTATACTGTCCATTGAGTTTCTCAATGCGTATAATTTGCTTTAACTACTTAAGTTAGAATTCATACTTTTAAATTGGGTTTGAGGGTAGGGGAGGGGTGTTGAAAGACTAATCAGTGTATAACAAGTTTTCATGCATTTTGTAAGCGAGGAAAGTAAAATCTTCAGGGAAAGGAATGTCAAAATCAAGGATGTTAGTCATATTTGCTTCTGACAGTAGAGTTTCAGCCGCTCTAACTCTTCAGCATGCAGGTTGAGCCTATAGTCACGTGATATATTGTATTTTTGATTGGGGAATAGTACGAAGCATTTCGAGTGATCAAGCGGTGAAAGATATGAATGTAGTACGTGTTTGTGAGAGTCAGTGAGATCTACATCATCTAGGATTGAAATGTATCTTCCCGTCACCACACGTAGCGACAGCCACAACCCACCGGGAAGGGCGGGGTAGAAGTAGGTTTTATGCAGCTTGTGCTTTGTAAGTGGGATAAACTAACTATTCGTGTACGTGATTTTAGGGAGCGGATTCATCAAGGTGCTTAAGGTTCTGAGATCATCATGTAGGCTGCAGTATATCAACTTATTTGCTCGAGCACATTATGATCACGCGGGGAAGGATTTAAATGTTATGATTTTTTGAATTTTTAATATTTTGATTTATCCATCATAAGTGCAGATAATTTCGATTCCCATAGGTCAAAAGAATAATGATGCTCCTACGCTTCAAACAAGACCGGCCCAGACCAAAACCCCAAGTGACTGACAATCCAGCAACAGAAATCCCCAAACCAATTTTCGCCAGTATCCCTGTTTCATTCTGTGATTTGAGAAACAGCGATTTCCACCTCTATTGAATTCCAATTCAACCACTAGTACAATGCCATCTCATCATTTCCAGATCCCATACTCCGCGATAAGCCCCAAATAATCTAGTTGTCTCTTGCTCTCAATAAGAACAATCTTTGTCTATCCTCTGCATTCTCTGTAGCTCTGAATTTTTGGTTGACAGTTGATGCACCACGGGTGACTGGAGCGAGCTGAAGGTAAGGGTTGAATGCATCGGTTGATTCGTTGGGGGTGGTGACTGTGGAGGAGCCATGACCGTTGAGAATGAGCCATCCATCGTTGGAGTCGCTGGAGGAAGCGGATGAGGTAGAGTAGGCACGGTCTAGAGAGAATGTTAGTATATCGTTGAATTATGTGAGATGTGAGATTGGAATGGGATAAGAAGCTTACCAAGACGTGGTTGTTGAGTTGTGGTAGAAGACATAGTGATTTTTGGTGGTGAGTTGTGATTGGTTGGGTAAATGTAAGACTGGTTGTGTTGTTGGAATGAAGCGGGGTATAGATTGCTTGAGATTGGATTGGTTGTTTGATGTTTGATTGTAAGACTGAGTTGAATGATGAGGAGGAAATGAGGAGGGAAACATCGATGAATATATACACTTTCATCAACATACCTTCCCTCCCCCCCTCCGTGCCTCATTCTTACCTCAATCCATTATTCTCAATACAGAACCCCCAAATTCTTGGAAAGTCACCTATCTGTGTCAGACAAATTCTGGGCATGACCGAGCGCCATTTGCGGATTCACGACCTCCACATCAGTAAGCCAAGATGGCACTGAACGCAATGGAACGGTACATACATGAAAAATATAGTTTGCCAAGAGATATATTGTTTCCCCCCAGCTGGTCTCCTACGCTTGCTCCGCTTGGAGTCGATGGAGAATACGCCAGGAATACCGCTACGCATAAGTTTCTTGGCGATGAATATTATCCAAAGAATCTTCCACGCAGAACCTCAACGGGAACTCCGGGAGCCAATCCGGAGTCGTAATAAGGAAGCATGGGCGGACTCAATGGACTGCTGGATGTTACACTAGAATTTATCCTTATCGAGATTTCCGCAATCGCAATAAACGAATTTTAAAATAATTAATAAAAAAATCTGTATTGATGCATTGTACCTGCCAAGGTCATTTCAATTGTTCCTTGTCAACCCTTGGAGTTGTTCTCTATGGTATATACAAAATTTTGACATACGTATGTATTGAAACATCGAATACGTTATTGCAAAAGAAACCCTCGCCACATTCTTTTTCCAAGGATGAAGGGGTAATCTTCGCTTCGCAATGTTTTGGGGGAGGAAGTACGTACCCGCGACTCCTCTCCTCCAGTATACTCTTTGAAGACCAAATTGTTACAAGCGGTGTTCCGGCCAAGCTACGCACAGAGTCCTACAAACGATCCGATCCGCCTGAAAGTTAGCCATATTGGAAACTTATTAAACTATTTAAAGGGAAATGATGGTCTTGGCATCTACGATAAGAGTTTGGTAGATCTTGGTGTTGTGCTGGGCAAACACTTATTGTTCTTCATTGATGATCTACCAAGCAATTTTAAGATGATAAACAACGATCATTACTTTATGTACCGACGGGAAACGGTAGTTATTAGTTTGACTGTCAACTTGGCGTAAGGCTTTGGTTTCCAAGTTAGTCCTCTTTAGTCTGTTGAAAAGGGATGGAAGATTCTTGGTTGTTTGAGTGGTGGTGAAGATTTGCAAATTTAGATCTTCTGAAACATGTCAAGTGACCTCTTCTTTCCATACTTTGTATGATTTACAATTTACATGTTTGATGATGTACGATGGTGTATTGGCAGTGTAGGATTTCTAATGGAACATCATTTCATGATCCTGTAACACCAAGAATTCCCAAGTATCTTGGCTATGTACATCAACACTGCCTCACTTTTTTTGCGAGCAATGAGTTCCTCCACCAACCACCTTTACATTCGAATGTGCCCAGAACAATTCATATGTGGATATATTGCACAATTATTGCCATGAAATCTTAGGTTTATCGAAAAAGATATGAAATGGATACAAGAGTATGCAAGGTATCATCAGCCAAGTTGAGCCGAGTCTTATTCTGTTCCACATTTGATACTCAGGAACTTCAACAATCAGTCTCACTGCATACCTTGTGTTGCAAAACCTCTCGGAAAGTGGCAATTATTAACGATCATTATGACCTTGTCGGTCTTCGAAATCTTATCTCCAATATCACTGCAGCAGTGCAGGCTGGCAAATTTTCCCTTGGTGCATCCTTCACCTTATTCCCCCCACGGAATTTTTTTCATTGGCAATCTGTACGATGAGATGTCAACAATGGACAGCGAGACGGACGTACGGAGTGAGAAGCACACGACAATCTCATGAACAAGATGCAAGCTGGGTGATAAGCTGCAACCGCACTTTACCGATGACCCTAGTTCTTGAGGTGACGGACGTACGGAGGAGAAATGTACGACATTTTCATCAGCAACATCGCAATACTTGCACCGGTACTACTACATTCCTTCCGCCGAGCTCCACATTTGATTTCTTCAAGAGATCATAGATCATCTAATATTTCGAGTTTTCGGCGGCCAAGGCTGATAATAAGGTAGCATCTTATCAAGAGATCCATCGTGGCGCCTATACGAGACTTTTTTCTCAACACCAAGGGTCGAAGAATCCACATTCGTGGTAACATCACTATCAGATATCACATCTTCGATTTGAGAGAGCACGAAATGGCGAATGAAACCTTGTACAAAGGGAATATCTCCGAGGCTCAAGATCATTCGCCTCTTTCGTTCGAGTGAAGGATTGTTGACTTGGTCATGGTATCTGTGACTCTCAAGGTTGTAGTACTTCTAATACTACCCTTGCGGGGAACCGTTGCTGCACCTAATCGTTCTTCCCGAAAGTTTGTGATATTAAATCTTCATGGAGCTTCGGAGGTGATGAAAATGATAGGTTATACTGGGAGACTGGCCATGAATCTCGAACCGGTTTTGTCTCCACTGCTCACAATCTGGCCCGAGAATATGCCTCATATTGCCCGAAAGTGCGATGATTGCTGAAATCAGTGGGTCAGTATGAAACATCTTTTACAGTTTCTTTGCTCGCATAAGCACTATACTCATCGTTCAAGCATATGATTCTGGGTTCTAGAGCGATATTCCATGAGATTCTATAACACCAGGTTACAACTGACAGGATTCAGTAAGACTCTTAACCAGACCATCAGACACAATATTCCTTATCCCGGAAATAAAAGAGCAAAGCCGAAAGTTCTTGGCCAAGAAACTCGCAAAGTTAACGACTTTCTTGCTTCTTCTTGGTTATCATGGGGGCAAGCCCCCAAACCCCCATAGCTCGCTGCGCTCGAAGATATCTCACACAATACCTCTTGTTTACTATCCTTATAGTCTAGGTCCGGGAGAGTGGAAATGATGGGCGGGTTTGAGCTTCTCATCCTCGTTGCTCGCTGTGCGTACTAGGCGACTGTCCAAATAACTCCCATTGTATTGGTTTCGGAGCCAGCAGCGAGCTGTCCGTTATTGTATATTGAATATCTATTCAATGATCATCTCGGAATCATGCTATCTCTCAAGAGCTCGGATTTTACGTTGAGTAGTCAATTAATCTCACTTCAATACACTAATCCCGCAGGTCTTCTTTCGCATAGCGCAGCACTATCTACCATCGCATAAATCTATCCTTCCAAAGAGATAAAAGGAGTCAGCACTTCATGATATTTCATATCGGGTCCGGTCATCATCAAGCAGGAAGAAGTCACCAGGAAAGATTCAATCCATCCATTACTATGAGAATATCCATGATATATAGCAGGAACAATCACACTTTTACCTATAAAAGTCCTTCGTAGATCCAATCGCTCTTCATGGAAGATACGAAAAACAGGGATATCATATCGCCAAGCAATGTTATCTAATCTTCTAGCCAAATAGAACACGATATGATTCGTTACATTACACCTCATATTCTATGGATTCTTTCCGTGTTCTCAGATCTCTTTATCCTCTCCTTCGTCTCTCGACGTCTATACATTCACCAAACCCTCGCTTGCTCCCCCAAAAACCAACAGAAAGAAATTAATCCATAAAAATACCCAACAAACAACCCCCAATTTACTCCCCCTTTTCCCACCCTTCCAACCCCATCACAAATCCCACAAACACCTCACCCAAAACCACAATCCATAGGCCATATTCCAAGTCCAAAGCCCAGAATCCAAGATTCAAACCCAAGCTCCCTCGCACACACAAATTCTCCGTCAGCAAAAACCTCATGACCTCGCTAAACAATTTACCCATTTATCCAATCCCACACACCACAATCCCAATCACATATTTTCGGCAAGCTCTTCCGTAAATCCCTGTTTACCCCGGATTTCGGAATTGTGGGAATTTGGCCGGGATAATTTGATACGTGAGGTGAGTACAGTGTGATGATGATGATGATGATGATGATGATGATGAGGAAATGTGTGAATTGGCGAGAAAGATATTGGGTGAAGTGGATGAATGCGATGATATGGGTGTGCTTGAGGGTTTAAAGGGGATAGATCCCGTCCTGATGATTCTTGGAAATTTGTTCTGGTGATTTTTCGGTGATGTGGATGGTGTTGGTGATCTAAAGATTTTACTCTCCATTGCTATTGAAGTTTTGAGTTTAAGACATCAACACGAATAACCACTATTCAACTACACCCGCGCGAAACTCACACGTGCAAATTTCAGAAAATTTCCTTCCTTAAAAACAAGCAAGCAAGCACAAGAATGTATCACCATTATCTCTCCTGTCTTCTCCTCGCCCTCATCACTTTCATCCTCCCCACATCCGCATCTCCCCTCTACTACACCCCATCCTCAAGGGATAATAACCCGATCCGAGCTACACGTACTGCAACATGCTCGAGTGATTATTTCGGAGGTTGTTGTGCTATTGATGAATATGGCATTTATGGTTCTTGTATACAATCCAATGCTTTTCCGTTCAAACTCTCACCCTCCCCCCCTCACCACTCCATTCTCCATTCTCAACACTATTTCCTCTACTCATCACCACCTCTACAAACCTAACAAAGAGTAACCTCCAGGTACAAACGCAACCTTACTCGAATCCAACGTGCCATGGACAGGTATGCCAACCACTCAAACCGCAAATGAATGGGCATGTACAACTCCAGCCAACGGAACTCTGATCAGTGCGGGGTGTTGTTCATGGAGCTGGACTTATGTTAGTCTTCCATTATTCATTCCCCTAAAAAGAGATGTTCCATCTCCCTCTCCTCTCATGTAGAAAAAGCTTTCGATTAACAACCGCCCAAAAAGATCGACACAACCTATCCCAACGGAGTGATTCTTCCCACGCTTGGAGAATCAATGGAATGTACAGCTAGTAATGCAGGACTCTCAGAATCCAAGAGAATGGAAGACGGTGGCGGAGTAATGAATCGAGGTTGGGGTGATGTGTGGTCGTTCTGGTGAGCGTGAAATGCGAATTGGTGATAAATTCGGATAGCATGGGCTGTGATAGTTATTGTAGTGTTAAATAGCACGGGGAAAGATATGATGAAGATAAGAAGAGGCCTAGATTAGGAAGAGAATGTTTGTTGGCGTGTATATGAATGTGGGATGTGAGGACAAACTCGAATGTGATCGACCAGAAATTATAGAGGTATACACTAAGAAACATGGTCATGTGGTATATCCTAAATGATGAATCAAAATGAGTGGGTATATGACTTGAGTTTGAATCAAGCAGTTGGCTGCCTCTATAGTAACTCCTGCAGCAGACAGTCTGCCTTCTCAGAGACGTCATGTCGCAGGACAAACTTTTCGCCGGATGACTGGCAACGATACGACACTTCACTGGGCTTATGCCAAAGTTCCCTACCCACTGCATGCATGTTTGGAAGATTTTTAGCAAGAGATCTGACACTTCAGATGCCTTCGGCGAGAGTTGATATCAAGCGAATCCACATCATTCTAGAAAGATATTTCATTTGACACAAACGTGTAAGGACTTCCCCAGTATTAGAATCCCATCATGGAATAGTTTCCAGTTCCCTATGGATCTCGATTTGGATATATCATACATACATACATACATTCTTCCCCCTTCCCCCCTTCTCCCCTTTTCACAAAAGTCCCATTTAATCCCAATACCTAATTGCGCCATCCAAACCCGCCGTAGCAACCTTCGAGCTCTCTTGAGGACTCCACTCCACACAAGTAACAGCCTCTTTACTCGCCTGGAACTTATGGTACATCTTACACTGTTTCCAATCCCAGAAACAAACATATCCACCGCTATCTCCCGAAGCAAGGAACTGCCCATCAGGACTACATGCTACATCAATAGCATAACCCGCATTGTTGTGTCCCTTGAAAACTTTCTTTCGATTTTGACGGAACTTGTCTGTAGCTCCATATACGAAGATATTATTATCGGACGATTGATAGGCCACCCATTTTTTAGATGGATGTAGAGATGCACGTGTCATGGAGTACATGTGTGGTTCAGCAATAAATTTGATAGGGACTGGAATATTGTAATCCCAAGCGCGTAACGATTTGTCATCAGATGTGGTGATGAAGCGTCGGTTTTCATCCACAAATGTAATAGTATTGACAGCTGCAAGATGGTGATCATATTCTTGTACGAGTTCGCGAGTACGGGTATCGAATTGTACAATCTTTTTGTCTGCCATACCGGCAAGGAATTCATTGCTGTGTTCGGGATCGGGGTTGAAACGAATGACGTGAGGAGTTTTGCCAGTTGTGAACCGATTTATACATTGACCTGTTTCCGTGTCCCATAATTTCATCATGCGGTCGTAGGAGCCAGAGATGAATTGTGTACCAGTTGCATTGAATGCAACATCTGTTAAAGCTTTCGTGTGGCCTGAATATGTTCGTAATAGCTCTCTTGAATGATGAGCATCCCAAATTTTGACTGTCGTATCGGCACTCCCTGAAAGAAGTAGATGCCCAGATTCGGGGAAGAATCGTATTCCAACGACAGGTTTTGTATGTCCCTTCCAAGTGTGTATCATCTTCTTCGGCACATAGTTCTTGAAACTTCCAGCCTCCTTCTTCAGATCTACATCCAGATCCAGCGGAACATGCATGTATGTTCGTCCCTGATAATCATACTGTTCGCTTCCTTCGAAAGTCGTTGTCTCCTCGCCCAATTCTTCGACCTCTTGACGTCTCGCTAAAGCTTGCGGCGGTGCAGCAATAACAGTTCCGCTCTCTATTACATCCTCCTCCTCTTCAATTTCTTCGTATTCTTCGTCGCTTCGTAATGGTTCACCTTCGTTAACCTCCTCATATTCTTCCCTCTTATATTTTGCCCAAGGTCCAACATACGCGTTATCACCTTCTGCTATACTTGAATCCCCCTTCTTCTGTCTTTTACTTCGTATCCTAGCTGCTTCTTCCTTGGCTTCCGCACCTGAAAGATGATTCCCTCTTCGTTCCACCGCTCGATATTGATCTCGAAACGTATGTTCACTAATATAGGTCTCTTCTGCATGCCCAGTAAGTACATTTTTGCGCTTAAGTGAATTTTTCTCGTCTTTGAAAGGATTCGCAGGACCCTGTGTTGCGCGGGCCAAATTATCGGCGCTGTATTGAACCACGGCATGTTCTGGACCTTCTGCATTTCGAGCTATGAGGGCATTTTGAGGTGCCATATTGGGCGGGTATGCGCCAAGGTCCGCCATTTTGAAAGCTTCAAGCTGAATTGATGGGAAAAACAGAATCGAGAGCGAATATTTCTAGATAATTATTGTTGTCTTTCTCGTCTCACAAAGTTAAACCTGTGTACAAGGCGCGAGACTATTTTCGCGATAGAACGACGAGGCTGACAGCACAAGCACGTGATCATGCAAATGATACAAGGCGCAAGCTTTGCTCTATCGATTTGAAGAAGAATCATTCACATTGGTTGAAATTTATCACTTCTGTGACATTGAATAGTTTTCAAAAATGCTAATGAAAGCAAGATCTTTGATATTTGATAATCGCAAAATGACAAGATTCATTCATATCAAAAAAAACATGCCGTTTCTAGCATGTTAGGTATCTATCTACATGAAACTTCTGTACGAAGTCCACTCATTATAGAATTCTCCCCGTTTTCCTGCCAGGCTCGAAACCAATGGAAAGAGCACTACCATTACATCTAAACTACCGCCATTCATCCATTCATTCAGCCATACCATTCGTAGTTAACATATCGTAGAGATCATGGCACATATAAAACCTGCCACCCGTTTTTCGTAGTCTCCTAGTTCCGTCTCGTCGAGCAAGCTCTGCCCTTGACCGTCGAACCTGTAGCTGTACCTATGCCTCCACTTTATACCGGTCGCCAATGTTGTTCTTAAGTCAATGCGACTCGTCCCGGATCAAGGCAACGATCATAGAGTAGAGGTAGAAGAAGAACATGATAAGATGGAAACCGAGCTTGATGAAGGATTCCTATCGAGGGAGCAATGTTAGTGAGAGCTCAAAAATACGATGGGATATGGAACCAAGCATCAACTTACTTTCTTGTGGACATTGAGCTTTCTGAAAATTTCAGTAGCATCGAGAAGATGTGCGTTATCGAGAATCCTAATCATCTGTTAGCGAATGTCCAAAATCTTTATATTCTAACACTGCAGCAGGAACCTACTTCTTGACATTGAATGCCACAAGTGGCAGATTGAGAACGAGCGCAACCCAGTACCCGTTGATAAGGAATAAGAGGGTCAAGAACCCATGAACCGCTGCCTCAGGGATAATGTACGTGTTCAAACGGTTGCAAAGATCGATAGGGTTGATGTAGTCACTGTGCCATTCGATGTTAGCATGATTTCGTAGTATGATGAAGCTTGAGCTGTTCCCTCCCAGTAGCAAAAGATTGATATACATGCTTATCGCATGTGGTAGAGGCCAAGTCTCTATTACTCTGCCCACCTATCCGAACCCTCCGCAATCCTGGATTGAAGAGGTACCCAATTGAAATCAAACTTACCACTCGAGATCACTGTACATAATAGTGAAGAATACTTGTAGGAACAGATTGACGGCATTGATAAGCACCGCCAATAGGTACAACCATGCCTCTCCTGACATCATCTTGGGCAACCTATGGGAATCGCGTCGAATACGCGATTAAAAAGCCTTTGGTATATTTTCTCAAGTTGCAATATCTGCGATGAAGGTCTCCGAATATATATTCGAGTCAAGATGTTGCTTCTGGGAGCTCGGATGGTTGCGTGCGTGTTGTTCGTTGTCTGTTCTCTGAAGGGATTTTTTTGAGTATGGGTAGTTCAAGTTTAAGCTCTAAAGGTGGGGAAATCCTCTAAAATCGGCACCGTGTTAATTGCACCTTGGTGAGAGAAGAATCTAGATGATGATGGCAGAATTATTTTTTATGCAGTACCACAGCGGTTCGATTTTCCTGGAAGCTTATAGTAAGTGGGAAAGATTCGGATGATGATCTACAAGCGGCGAATGACGAAGCTTTTGGAGACTTAGAAAGTTTGTTAGTATTGTGTTGATAGATCAAGATCAAGGATTTGTTCCCTTCTAATAGGATAAGAGGTGATATTTCATTCGCTTATGCATGTATAAATTGTGCATATTTGTCAGGGGCATGAACGATCGGTAAGTAGGTAGGTAGGTACCTCGTAGGTAAAGTGCAATAGATACACTCGAGTAAAACTTAAGAGCCGTACTGTGAAGGCTTTGAGTATTGTGTTGGAAAGTTGTATTCGGATTTACTTCTAATCACCTCCTGATTTATTAGTCTTTAGAGGCCATCATATTTTGGGGGTGATTTGTGGTTCGACCTGGGAAATGCCATTTCCTATTCACACGGGATTTACGGGGTCACACAATTTACCCCCCTTCCCCTCGTTGCCCTCAATATGGCCCTGGTGTCTATTGGCTTGGCTAGAATCTATCTATACTAATTGTTTCTCAAGCTGCCACTTCCTTCGTCTCCCCGTTAGTCTCCTCGGCAACGACTGGCATTGGTATGGGTCCACCAGGAGAGTCAGGTAGTCTTCCTGTCAATATTTCACAACCATCATCTGTGATCAAAAGAGTATGCTCTGTTAGATGTTAGTAAACGATCACAGTTAATGAAGTCCAAAATTACATACCAAATTGGGCAGTTTTCTTTCCATCTTGAGTGACACTAGTCCAGTTATCTGGCCAAGTCTTATCCTTGTGTGTTCCTAATGCAATCATGGGCTCGATTGTGAAGCACATTCCAGGTTTTGCTGCACCTACAGCCTTATTCTTCGCATAATGAGGAATATTTGGTGCGCAATGAAACAAGCTGTTGATTCCATGACCACAATATGCCTTGATGACGCTACAATTTGACTCCTTGGCGCGCTTTTCTATAACATTTCCAAAATCTCTGAATAGTACTCCAGGCTTAACGATTTTGATGGCTAGATCCAAACACTCTCGTGCAGCTTCCACCACTCGCACTGTGTCAGGGTCCGCTTTTGCTTTATCACCAATATAATATGTTTCGTTGAGATCGCCGTGAAAGCCTCCGTGATAGAGTGTAACATCGATGTTCAGAATATCTCCATCTTTCAAAACTCGCCTATCTGGAATACCATGGCAAATGACTTCGTTGACGGATGTGCAGACGGACTTTGGAAAATCGCAGTAGTTGAGAGGAGAAGGATACGACTAGGCTGATCAGTAAATTCAATCTATCTCACGACAAGGTACTCACGTTTCTCTCCAAGCAAGCTTTGTGTACGATCTCGTCGATGTAGTCGGTAGTAACTCCAGGTTTAGCGGCTGCGGCTGCGATATCCAAAACTTCTCTACCCAATCGACAAACCTTTCTCATGCCTTCCTGCTGTTCCTTGTTCAAGATCTCAATTTTGTTTCTTTGACTAGTTCTTTCGCTGCGTGGAACGCCATCTCTCCAGTAATCGGGGTGCTGAATAGTTTTTGGTACTTCTCGATGGTCGGATAATGGGTAAACAGGTCGTAACGATCCGGTAAATGGAAAGGTAGGAAATGGATTGAATAGTCCGGTAGCTGGATCGGGTTTAGAGACAACTTTTGGGGTAAAGATATTACTGAGGAAATTACTCTGTGACTTGTGGACTTTCTTATGTTCACTCTGTAATCATTGTTAGCATTGCGCTGGGTTGAATAATTGACTTCTCCAAAACTTCCTCAGAGGGGCAGTCAAAGTGGACGACATCTGATGCTCCGCCAATTTCCCGAGAGGTCCAATATGCTTTGGATGATGGACTAGACAGGATTGAAGTGTACATACCCAACTCTTCTTAAAACAATCTTGCGAACAGAAAAAGCTATCTTTCGTGCCAAGCTTCAAACATGTTGGACACTGTAACGAGCCAGCTTCATTCTCGCAATCAACGCCTATGCATTTTCTGGGAGATGCCGAATCTTCTGATGCCATGGTGAAGGAGATCTGCAAGAAACTTATAATACGGGAATCTACAGACTTTCCGAGAGACCTTGATGGTTAAACAGCTTTGTTATAACCTAGTGTGTAGTAGGACAAGGCGAAATTTCTGGTAAATTTCTGTCAGCCGTGTTCCCAAAAAGTGTTCTAGAAAGGGCGTAGAGGCAAGTAACCAATTAAATTAACAGTTTGTGCTAAGGCGGTGTCTTGCTTAGGCTTAGCGTTCACAATGTTCCATAAAATCGTACGATCACGTGAAATGAGGGGTGATTTTAGTGAAATGATTTCTAAAATTCTAAAGTCTTACCAAACAGACCCTTCGCAAATGAAATTACCGGACCGGAGTACTATATATTTTCAAGATGTCATAGATAGAATTCTCAACAATTTGCCTCAATCTGTTTGAGTTGACATTTCAATCGAAAATGTCAGAACAATCTTCAAGACAAAAGACTGTTATTATTGGGGCTGGTCCAGTCGGAGCTTTAGCAGCTCTATATGCAGCTCAACGAGGCGATGATGTAGAAATATATGAACTCCGAAGTGGTACGTTTTGATCCTATCATTCTTTTGCCTGAATAGTTTGCAATGCACAGGAACTATCCAATGGAAGTCACAGAGAGTCTCTATATGATATAAAACATACTCAGTGAAAGTTCACTCTCACTCCGGCACAGAGACTTTGATTCTGAAATTCTTTTTCCTTCATGTAGATGAGTCATGTGAGGGTATCGCCACAAATCTTCCAGAGAGAAACTTCTATGTGGGTGGTATTGCGGAAGGCCAGAACAAGTTCAGTTCGGTATATTGTATCCTTTTCCGGTTCTCTATAGATGTGTACATCAGTGGAGAACAGAATCCTTTCATCATTGCTACGTTGGCTTGTGAACTTATTGGTCAATCTTATAATCTCCCCCGTTAACAAATTCCTAGATCTTCGGGATCCTTCCACAACACCTCTCAATTTTACAAAATCTATCAATCTCGCTCTATCAGAGCGGGGAATCAATGCCATAAGACAATCTGGGCGCACAGCACTTCTTGATAGCATCATGAAAGAGGCGATACCGATGGGAGGTAGGATGATTCACGGCGAAACGGCTGATAAGGAGCTTTACGAACAATCACAAGACTATGATATCCATGGAAGAGTATTAATATCTATGACTACAGTAGTAACCTCATCACTAATCCGATTCCTAGTCAATATACGCCGTGGACAGAGGGGATCTCAATAAAAGATTACTTGATGAGCTCGAGTCTCTTCCTAATGTCAAATTCAAGTTCAACCACAAACTAACCGGAGCTGATTTCAAAAACAAAAAGGCATGGTTTGAAGTTCACGGTGGAAAATCACTTCAATGGTCCGTCGAAATTAGAGATCAAGAAGTTGAAGTGGATTTTGATTTCCTCATTGGAGCTGATGGGGCTCATTCAGCTACACGTTATCACTTAATGAAATATCTCCGAATGGATTATCAACAAGAGTATATCGACACTTTGTGGTGTGAGTTCACAATAGATGCTCAAGAGCAAATTGGGGAGGATCCAGCGTCTCGATTCAAAATATCTCCACATCACTTACATATCTGGCCCGGTAAAGATTTCATGTTCATCGCAATCCCTAGCACGGTATGTGGGCCCTATTCTTCTTTTTCCTCTTGATTATTCTCTTACATGAATTAGGATGGCTCATTTACCTGTACTCTCTTCATGCCATCGAAACCGTTCAATGAGCTCGAAACCGATCCTAAAGATGTCCCGGCTTTCTTCGACGAGCATTTCCCAGGTGTCACAAAACTAATCGACCATGCTTCTCTAATATCATCATTCAAAAATAACCCACATCTTCCACTCATAAGCATAAAATGCAAACCCTACCACTTCCAAGATTCAGTAGTCATCCTCGGTGATGCCGCTCACGCCATGGTTCCATTTTACGGACAAGGAATGAACGCGGGTCTGGAAGATGTCCGTGTTCTCTATTCCGTTTTCGATGATGAGAGGCGCAATTTCCCCCTTCTCAGCACCGAAGCCTGTCGCTCTGTTGCTTTGAGCGTTTACTCCGAAATCCGTAAAGCCGATGCACACGCTATCAACGATCTAGCCTTCGAAAATTACTTTGAAATGCGCGCAGCCGTTATCTCACCGGTCTACAAATTCCGCAAATGGTTAGAAGAAACATTGAGTGTATACGTACCTCGTCTTGGATGGCAAACCAAGTACTCTCGTGTTAGTTTTAGCAACGAGCGATATTCCGAGATTATAAAGAAGAGCCAGAAACAAGGCAAATTAATCATAGTTGGTTTGGTGAGTGTAATGACTTCACCGATCGTAATTGGAGGATTATTGGCATATTATAGATGGAGAAGAACTCATCCTCCCACGAGGGGATTCATGAAACATGTAGCGAGGCTGGGAGCGTTGTTAGGATGGAAGACTGCTTGAGGAATTATATGCGTTGGTTCATATATTTATGATTTTATTTATAGACATTTTCCACTTCTTGTATTATAGCGATAGAGAGCGAGTTATAGATTACCAGTAGAGACGAGTATATACCATTTGTAGAAATATATCTTGAATTCTCACGAGTGTAGCTTTCGAAAAGGAAATTACATTCTCCTACTGAATGGATCTCCTATGCAATATATAGCACCTTACGTTCTGCGATATTTAATTGCATAATATCATGAATATATGCCCTCAAACTATGAACAACTTCGGGGTTTCCATCTTCGCTCCTTGTTTCTTGAACAGGTCAGACATCCATCCAAATCCCGTTGTTTAAGGTTAGTCTCCCGAATACAAGTTGATGCTCGCTGGTGGAACATACGAAGGTCCGAGAGAAGGGTGCCCAGATGACTTGAGATATTCACAATAACGTCATGTACCTTGTTGGCACCGTCTCTCATAGAATCTAGAAATACGACGAGTGTACTTGGTCGTGATTCGACTTCGCTTATGTAACCCACACGGAATGTGGTTGAACTTCGGTTGATTCGCTGGATTAATTTCCGGCATTGTTGTTCAAATAATCGAATGTTATTTTAAACCATCGACTTCGTACGCGTCTCATTATATTTGCTGTGATTGTTAAGAGGCGGTTGGTGAAGTATCAATTATCGAGATTGTTCTCGAGTATATATCTTATACCGGATTGCTAACTTTGTATCAATTCGAAGGAGCACAATGTGTTACCCATCAAGGTAATTGTAATTGTCAACACTTTGTAAGTTTCACAGCTTCAACGCGTCGCCTTCGCGACATTCTTTTGCTTCGAAACTTCACTAAACATTCAACATGGTAAACCAAACAATGTCATCTCTTGGGAACAGCTCTGGCCTCATTGGCGATATATGGCCTCCCAATAAGGTCATGGCGCTTATTGCCACGATTCTCGCCATCACGATCACAGCCTGGGTAGTAAGATTCATTCAATATAGAAAATCGTACAAGGAATATGTAATAAATAACAATGTCTCCTCCAATTCCACACGTGCTGACCAACTCAATAGGCATCTGGGATACCTTGCCCGCCTTTCAGTACTTTACTGGGCACATTGAAATCCATGGGCGATCAATATGCTCACGCACCAATGACTGCACATCCTCATGGTATTATGACCATGATATACGACAAATATAACTTAAAGGACATGTTTATCCTGGACAATTGGCCATTCTTTCGTTGGAGACAAATTATTATTTGTGATCCGGTACGTTTATTTCTTGCATCATACTTCACGAGAGAGCAGCGATAGGTATCGTAACACAACTGACGTTGGAAAGAATCTCGCTGCACAATGCACGCAAAACCACTCACTGCCAAAGTCAGTTGTCACTGGGCAATATGTTGGCCATATCACCGGAAAGAGAAGTATTCTACTTACGGAAGGTTTGGAATGGAAGAAGAACCGGGCATTATTCAATCAAGGGTTTGCTCTTGCTCATCTCACAACACTTATGCCAAGTCTTGTCGACGAGGTAGAAATATTTCGCGATGTTTTGGGCAAACTTGCCGACTCGGGAGAGGTCCATCCAATTGAAGAAGCAGCTGCATTTTTGACTATTGATATAATGGGTCATGTTGTTCTAGACATTAGTTTGAATTCTCAAACAATGAAGAGTGAACTGGTCGAATATTTTCGAAATTCTATTTCCTGGACGCCAAAGATTGTTGCGACAAATCCATTGGTAAATCTAAACCCATTAGGTCCGATTATGCGAAAGTATTATGAATGGAAAATGGACGGCTATCTTAACAAAGTCTTGGATACTCGATTCGCAGAGAAGGAAGGGAGTGCCACGAAAAGTAAGAAAAAGCCTGTTATTGATACTGCTCTCGACGAATATATTCTTCAACAAGAGGAAGACAATGTCGCACTGGGTGATCGAGGATTGGATCAAACTTTCAAGCAAGTATCAATCGATCAAATGAAAACGTTTCTATTCGCTGGCCACGACACTACTTCGAGTACTATTGCCTACACGTATCATCTCCTAGGTAAAAATCCTAAATGCTTAGCCAAAGCGCGAGATGAATTGGATAGGGTATTTGGAACGGATACTTCGAGAACTGGAGATTTGATCAAAGAAAACCCGAGTATAGTAAATCAGTTACCATACGTATTTAGCTGTATTAAGGAAACTCTTCGGAGGTATCCACCTGCAGACACAGCGCGACATGGAGATGATCTCGTGCTTGAATATGAAGGTCGGCAATACCCCACTAAGGATTTCATGGTAATGGTTTGTGTTCATACCATACATCATCGAGATGATCTCTTCCCTTCCCCCTACGAATTCATTCCTGAACGATTCATGCCTGCACCGGACAACTTTCAAGAAATTCCAAAGAACGCTTGGCGACCATTTGAAAGGGGATTCCGAGATTGTATAGGACAAGAACTTGCTCTTCTTGAAATGAAGATTGTTATGGCTATGACTTTGAGAGAATTCGATATCAAGTCCGACTACGAGACTTGGGATCGAAAACTTGGTAGGAAAGAACCTGGTGGTATTCTCAATGGTACACGTGGAATGTTCGGTGAGAGGATTTCTTCTGCAAGATCAGAGTGGTGTCAGTGACGCTAACGAAACTTTAGGAGATCGTGCTTATCAAGAACTAATTGCAAGTGCTAAACCATCTGATGGGATGCCAGCGAGGATCGAAAGAAGAACGCATAATTAATTGGTATATTATGATTTGCAAGATCCGATGAATATTATATCGCATAATTTCTTGCGATTGAAATGAAGATTGGATAACAAAAATTGAAGATGGGAGTGTCACATCACGACTATTCTTGCCAATATACAGAAAACCCTCTCCTGTTCTAATTACGAGCCCCTCGCAAATTTTTGATTGGGCGAGAGCTCATCTTAGCAACACGTTTAAGAATATGCAGAGGCAGTTTACCAAAATATTCTTTAGATCCTTACTATTTATTCATCAGTGTGGTGCTGTGATAAAATCGGTATTGATGTTCCAGACCCATGAACCTTTACTGAAGATCTTGTTGGGGTGTTCCGACCGCGCTAGATCCCTGCTAAAACCCCCCTTGTCTCAACTTCGTCTCAAGTCTTGGCTTCCGACGGAGACTAAAAATAAGATAAGCGATCTCGGAATGCAAGGGTTTTGGAATACAGGGGTCTCGGAGATTTTCAATCAATTTTAATTTAAAAGACTTAAGCTTACGATCTATCTGGTAGCTTGTTTCCCCAGATTTCATTGAGTGGACCGTATGTTTTGCAGAACTGCCAAATTAAGTGACCCACCCGAAATGTTCCGACAAGGGGTCCGACACGGGGTAAGGTTACATTCTATGGTAAGCTTATGGTAGAGGCACAAGACGTTTGAGATGGTGAAAAGTGAGACTTGAAGTGGCTTCATCTGATGTCTGGAATGATTCAGAAATGATAATATCATTCGGTCCCTTGATGCAAAGGGTGGTAAGTAATCTCGCAAAAATTGAGTGAGGTGAAAAAGACTAGGGTTTCTCACAATTTTAAGTTCAAGTCAATGATGTCAGCTAGGTTCTGTCATCTGAAGTTTGTATCAGCCCCAGCATTTTCGTCCTATCTCCTGGATCGCCTTACTAGCTTCAACGGTATAGACGATGTTCAAGCAATAAACTTAACCGCCGCATAGTATGATCTCCTACCAGCATGCAAAGTTTGCAATGGTCCTCAGACGATTAATTAATCGTCCCTTGGAGTTGAATCTCATTCTCGTCATGTATAAGTACAAGATGTTTATCCTTCGATAATTTTTTTTTCATCATCATCTATTCAATCCTCCTCTCAATCTACAGTTTGGCTGTCTTTTCATTCATTTAGTTCTGTGAACTACTGCGTTCTTTGCTATAATATTATCTAAACTTTCATTAAATACATCCTTAAAATTAGGCCGGTCCAATCTTTAGTTTTTAAACAGCCATCCTTCATATTACCTTTCTTCAAAACCAATACCTATCTATCACATCGATATCAAACCCAATCAAATCAACATGTTTTCAAAGACCATCTTCACTTCTTTGCTAGTGGCTTTGGCCGAAGCTCGGTATGTCTACTTATATACAAGTGCTCAAGTTGTGCACACATCCTAACTTTCCAATCTTAGTTTCGGTCAAGAACAAGGAAACGGTGCAATTGCTGCCATTACCGCTCTCAGTGATTTCGGAACCTCGGGTGCAGCTGCAAGCCTCGGAGGAGGCTCCATTCAATTCCTCCTCGCGGCTGCCAACCCCTGCGCAAAACTCACCCAAGCCGATACCATCGTTGCACAACTTGGCAACGACCCCGCTGTTATTTCCGCAGCGCGCGGTCTCGTAGCTGCCGAACAAAATTTTAATCCTTTTGTCGTTTCCGTTCCAAACATCTGTTCTGACCCAACTTTGCCTACTACAGCTGCTCTTCGCGGTGTTGTTCCTTTGATCGATCCAGCTGTGGGAGGAAGCGCAACCGAAAATGCAAATAGTGCAACGAGTACCACAACTCCATTTACGGCAGATGGTCTTAGTGTTGCGGATGTAATGGTTGCGCAGGGGTTCTCAAATTTCACAACTACCGATGCCGCGGGAAATAAGGGAACTCCATCTGGATCTTCCGCTGCGGGTGGAAGTGTGTCGACTTCGAATTCCACTGCTAGTGCTGCTTCTTCGGGTATTTCGAGTGTGGCTGTGGCAGCTGTCGCTGCAGTTTCTTCAAGTGCAGTTGCTTGCGGAGGTACTACTCTTGTCACTGTCACTATGGCCGCAGCAGCCACTCCCGCCGCTTTCTCATCCTCCTCATCCTCCTCTGCCGCCTTAACCAACTCCACATCCTCAAGCTCCCAAGCCTCCTCCATCACCGGCCTCGACTTCGGTCTCTGCGTCCCCACTATCAAATTCGAAGCCGGTCTCAACGGTCGCAAAGACACCGAATTCACATTCCAAGCCATCGACCCCTTAGTCAACAAGGGTCAGCAAGAAGCACTTAATCCTAATATCATCACCAATCGCATCTGCGATCAATTGGCTAATGTGTGCAATGCGAATGCGACGGCGAAGACGGCATGTGCGGATGCGAAGACGAAAATTAGTGCGTTGGGTACAAGGGATGTGACAACCGCGGATGCGTGGAATACGGCTCTGGGCTTTGCGGGCGCGAATACGAATCCCGATAATGCGCCTCAGGCGGGGTTGGTGGGTCATACTTAGAGGGGCTTGGGGGGTCGATTTGGGGATGGATTTGGGGTTGGGGTGGGATAGGAGATGATTGGATTGGGATTGGGATTGGGAGAGATTTTGTGAGATGGGATTGGATGAGATATTCAAAGAAGTATAAGAATACGAATATCTGTATAATTACGGAGTTGATATATGATCATGTCTACCAAACTATGTTTTTCTCACCTACACTACAAGTCACAGCTGACTTGGAAAGTCGTTCCGTTTTTATTTTGTGTAGTGAATGTCCAACTTCGTTTCATCTCTTGAGTTTCTCGATCAAGTGGTTGTTTCTTACATATGGAGATTTTGTTTGTGATGTTTGTGATGTTGTTGGTGATGTTGTTGGTGATGTTGTTTGCTTGATTTTGTGCTGGGAGATGATCGGGGTAGATGATCCATCGGAACACAAGTGTTCGGGGACATTAATTGCAGGTAGTGCCTGATAAAATTTCAAAGTATCTTTGCGATGGGAATTCTCAACGCGATTCTGCCTTTCTCTTCTTTCATTTTTAAGGAGATCGTTCATGATTTCACCTGAGGTTGACCTTGGAGTATTGCATTTAGTATCATAACTCTCGGGTCTAATTAGATGTGGTGTTGAGATTAGCTGTTATTTGTATAGTGTACTTTTGTTCAGTTGTTGTGTTTTTGTGATGCTGAATTAGAATTGTTCTTTGCAAAAGTGTGTATACAATCACGAGCAATTGTCTGGTGCTTTTTTGGGGGCTTGCTGGGATTGGGATCTAATCGGCTAGTTTGAGTTTGAGTGGGCATGGGAGGGTTGATATCATATCTATACAATCTCGTTAATGCGAGTATCCCAAGGGCCGTAGAGAGCCTCGCTTGTAAGATTGATATCTATGTATGTTTTTGTAATGTTTCAGTAGAATTCCCAACAGTAAACTGTGTGTGTTTGAGTGAAGTGAAGATAGTTCGTATCTCAAGCTGAACATTTGATTTGTTTTCGAGGTGACTTGAAGTTACCCAGCATGTCGGGAAGGATGTAATGAGATCATTGAATATTCTCAATACTATTGTATGCTAAAGATATTTTTTTAATTACGGCAAATTACTCTCATGTTTCTCAGATTCTATAGTCAGAGGGTAGGCTGTTTAGGAGGAGAGTAAATTCTGGTTAATTTAGGATAGATTTCATAAAGGGAGCAGACTCTATAGGAGGAGGTAGGTTATATAAACATATTACTATTTTTCCTTCGTATCCTTTAGGTTTTCTTTCTGATTTCTATTGATTATAGGTTAGCTTCTATGATTTTAAGGTAGACTCTACAGTTGATAGGCTTTAATCTGAGAGGTGTGAGAGAAAAATAATATCGATATCAGCGGCATAAGATTAATTTAATAAAGATGCGGGCAGGAGAGCAATTTGTTGTTGTCGTTATCATTTCTTCTTTGTCCTTGAAATTGAAATCAGAAAAGTAGGGAACGCTCCGAACTTCCCGAGAAAATTTTCCCTAGCCAAATTATGAAATGAATGCGGTAATAGTATCAGAAAGTGAGCTATTGCAATGGCCAATAGGTCCACGAACAAGTGTGCCGTATATATGGAGATCTCGGTGGGAATAAAGTTCCTTTGATAGATGTAGCAGTTTTGTATTAACAGCTCATTCATGATAATCGTTTGATGTCGGTAAGCAAGTGCATGCATGGCATTACATGGCGGTGTTATAATTGGTATTCTTCGTATTTTAGATACCCTCCACTTCAGTAATGCGTATTGAATCTTTGAAATATATTTTAATAATGATTATTGAATTGAATAGTTTTCAATACTTTGAGAACATGGAATATTAGCAATGGATTTCTGAGATATAGAAATTCTTATATTTTTAGCTTTAATCTAAGATTTCCGCTTTAAGATACGCAATTTTCATATTTTGATACATCCTCAGTGTTACCCCTTTCGGAAATACTCTCGGGTATAGTTATTATCAACTATAATATATACTATAGTATATATTCTAATTGTAATAAAATCAGTCATTACATTACTATCGTATACTGATACTATACTACTATATACTTTCAGATATCCCGAGCTCAAGGATTAGAAAATACGCGCTTTGGGTGGCGAAAAAGATTTATGAAGAGTTTACTATTCATCATGAATAATGGCCTCTGACCTGAGCATTTATTATATAAATTTTTTTTCCCTATACAACTATATTACAGTTTTATCTTCAACACTAAACAGCTCACCTTTCCTGCTAGTCTCCACTAATACAAGCCTTCAGAATGCTTTGCACGTCAGAATCGCTCTTTACAAAAGCCTTCCCGAATTGAGCCAAGTCATCATCCGATAAACTTCTTCGTGCAGCGGCCGCCTCGCCTAGAACCTCCTCCTCGTTTTTGGATGTCTTTCCTAGGCCTCCAAGGAGAAGACCCATGATTGAGAAAGGAGCAGATGAAGGATCTTCCACGATGTCGTAGGCAGTGAGAGCCGCATTACCAACATCTCCGACTAAAGTAGCAATTCGAGCTACATTAGCAATTCCATCAAAAAGCGCCCCTCCACCTTCTCCAATAATAGGTACCACCATGAGGACTATACCCAGAATCTCGAGGATCAGATTTTTTTTGTCCTCTTCCTCTACTTCTGCACCGATGTCCTTGATGTTATTCATCGAGTCAACAGCATTTTGGAGCATGAATACTGGTGTGCTGAATGCTGTTGTAATATCCGAATCATTTGCCTCGCTAATTCCAAGCGCAAGCTCGAAATACAGACCCATAGCTACATCTGCCAAGGCAGTAATGTTGGGCATAGCTGCTTCTATAACTGTCTTAGGGTTTGTAACGACGATATTAGAGGCTGCAATTGGAACGTTGGTCTTCCGATGCGTAACATCAACACAGGACTTGCCTCCACCGCTTCCTCCAGGACCAATCGCCCGTGGAATGTTCTGTAATGTCCCCTGTACAATGACACAATCCGTTGGTCCTTCCCAGTCTCCAAAAGCAATCCAGTCTCTCTCAATGCCTAGCTGGCTTGCGACCGCTGCATAAAATCCGTCAGAATCAACCAGTGTATACTCAAGATTCCAACTTTCTGAGGCGCCGTTTAGTGAACTGATCTCAGTACATGGAACTGTGGTAGTCCCCCTACCGCCTGCAATCCATCTGCAATCAAAGAAGGCGTTGCCGTTACCAGTTCCAACATCCATAAAGTCACTGAGAGCAGGACCAACGCTGTCCTTGACCCACTGGACGTAGTAACCGAACTTATCGTCAAATCCTTGAACGGATGTGTTGTACTCGTCCTGTAGGTCGTCAAGTGTCTCAAGCAGAATCCCCAGCGTCCATCGACTCCAACACTGAGATGGAATTGACTGGGAGGCTGTAGCGGAAAGTAGGTCATCGAGCGTCGTGGGCTGGGAACTAGCATCACAGTATATCATGTTGAGGGGGTCAGATGTGTCGTAGTAAGAATCATCAGGGGCATTGTAGTCTGGGCCGTAGCCATACTGATCCATATTATCGGCATCAACACAAACTTCGACGAGACAGTGGCCACGGTCACACGCAAAGCCACACAGTCCAAAATCGTCTCCATCTACCGAGATGGCATTGGCAGTTTCGTTTGGTTGAGCAAGATCCAGGATTCCAGTATCCTCACATTCACACAAAGCAATAGGACAGAAACCGTGGGCGCACGTAAAGGTGCAGATATCATTCCAGTCCCCGATTCCCGATCCTCCAGTACAGGCACTTGGCGTAAATGGTGACACCGCAGGCGGAGTGATAACAACCTCGACAGTTGAGCAATGTTCTGTGGGACAATAGCCAAGACCACACGCAAAGCCGCAAAGTCCCCCAAAGGAATCATCTCCAACTGGGTGTCCTATAACCCCAGTCCATTCTGGGAGCGTTGGTTGCTTTCCAAATGCCGAACACATGCCCCTCGTGGGCAATAGCCATGTCCACAGGCATAGTTACACAGCATTTCAAATTCCCCATATCCAGTTCCATTGACGCATATAGTGTCACTCAACGATGGAACTTGGACGGAAACAGAATTGTCTGACCATGCACTTTCAACAAATGCATTAAAATTATTGTACCCATTAGCACAGATTGTTGCAATCTCTCTCGAGCCAGAAAAGGTTACCACCGTCTGGCCGCCACGGCTAATTTGAAGATCTACTATGCCGCTGAGACCATTGAAGTCGGCATACCCCATGTATAACCCGGCACCGCCTTCCGGCTCGTGATAAAGAGTAATTCCACTGGTCATACCGCCGATCTTAAAATGAACACATTGTCACCTTCGGCAAGAAGAGCGGTGAAGAAAACAGCATCTTGGAGCATCTTTGCTGGCGGAAACTCCATCTGCAGCTGCGAAGCCGTGTTGACTGTGGTATTGTCTTGGAAGCAATCAGCTGCTGGAGACAGTCTATGCCAGACGACAACACCTTCTTTGGTTATAGTAGAGACGTTGTTCTTGTACATATCGATCGCAAAGGGCAAAATATCACGCCAGCCATCATGTTGAAGCGCATAGTTGAAAGGCGCTTCACCAATATCGAAAGCTGCCATAGCATTGTCGCGCAAGGGTCCTATGTGGTGTGACTCGCCGTAGTCATTCCATGAGATGATTTCAACGAATTCAGGCTGCCACCACATCGCTTGGATCCAGCGATCGGCCCAGATATGATCTCCTCGCCAAAGCCAATTTTTGTCATAGCCAGGGAGATTGGTATAGAACCACGGCGAGACCGGCATCATATACGGCTTGCCGCCGAGATACTGATCATAAGAAGCATCACCATACATCATTATATCATTCCCACCCCAAGGCCAAGCATCCCAGCTGAATAAACCGTCAGCAACCCCATTAGCTTGCTCCATAGCCACCTTGGCTCCTAGAGAACTCCAATCAGGCATAAAGAAAACAACCCGTCTGCTGTTTGATTTCAACCCAGTCTTCTGCATTTGCTGGCCCCTCGAAAGTCGACACAAAGGGCAGGCCTTTATGCCTGAAATAGGCACCATGAGAGCTGTAGATTGAGATATAAGAAATCACCTGGTCCATAGGCCATGCACCATTGCCGGCGTAGTCGAACGAGAAAAAGAGGTTGAATCCCGCACTGTCGGCGGCTGCAAATGCAGCAGAAACCCCAGCACTATTAACTGGGTCACCATAGGCCATATTGAGAGCAAAAGCATCAATGTGTGCTGCTTGGGCCAGCGAAATATCATCACTCCAGTCCGCAGCCGTGTAATTTTGGGAGTTTGTCACCTGAATATCGATCTGTTAAACAGTTCCTTGAAATAGCTTAGCATGGACGTTCTTACCATGAAATGGGCGAAAGCAGCTTTGCCCTGGGCTTGGGTAGCCCATTGTAGGGCAATTGTTACAGGCAATAGGTATTTCATATTGGACAGATGGGGAGGTGAGGCAGAACCAAGGCAAAATGAGCGAAAGAAGTTGGTGTTGATGATGGAAAAGAAAGTGTAGAATAAGCAGACGACAGTACCCTTTAAATAACTACTTACAAGCGAGACATGAGACACCTTCATCAAAAGAAACTGCTTTTAAGCAGGCCACTGGCGATATCTTGCCGCTGAGGCTCCGCTCAGATTTTGAGAAGGGCTCTCACTTAGGATGTTATCTCCAGACCTTACATGTTCCACTTTTTGAGGGAAAAAGTTGACCCAGGATGAAAATCTTCACGTGGGAGTGTTTCTGTACAATTTATTGTGTTGATTGCATCTTGATTCTCAATTCGCAGAGAGAGATTGCCTCACAGGAAACCCCGAAAAGCTATGCGGCGCAGATAGCTCCACCAGGCCCACTTGTTAGCCAAGAGAAGATCAGGGTCCGTTCGGTTCGGATGCGGGTGGAAAGACTACTCTGTTATCCCTGCTTTCAAGTGCACGAAGCGGCACAAAGGTCCCTTGCAGAAATCTAGGCGATAAGCTTAAAGTGAACAAGGTTATATAGAGAAGTGGATCCAGTAGTGGGTTCAGTTAGCAGACATACGGATCCTGCAAGTCAATGAGGAAGCCACATCGGATTGAGCCATTGCAAGGGATCGCAATATTTCAAGGTAGATGGACCGTAGATAATGAGACAATCTTCACATATTACTGCAGCGGGTAGCTACTGGGGCTAAGACTAGCAAGGGGGCTCATCCGAAGTGACCCCCAACATAGAGAAAAGTCTCGATCTTTCTGGCCCCCAAAGGACATCTGTGATTGATTAATGAAAGGATTCACACCACAGAACGAGGAATTGCAGCGAAAAAATTTCTTCTGTGAACGATCACCGAGCGGCTAATTGCAAAATACGCTGTTCTCGCTTCAATCGCACTATCGGCACAATAACCTTCGCAATCTTTCCTTTTGTGGTGGAGATATCTACTAGAAAGCCCAAAATGTCAGCGAATGCACTTTCCAACTCTGAGTGGAAATTTGAAGTCGAATCTTTATTAGCTCGCTGCTTTTTTAGTAGGGGAATCTCGCATGGAAAAGTTCTAATCATGGCTTATTCAAAAAAAGAGTTCTAGATCCTGGGAACTCTAACAGTATCAGGTCTCCCTCTTCTAAGTAGTAAGTACAAGTGAACAAGATTTGTCTTGAGTTATACGTTCCATATACATGGATACTGTCAATGCGAGCCAACGAGCTTAGACGCACAAAACGCGAAGATATGACTATTATACTATCTATATACACAAATGGTAATGTATCAAATGAAGAAGCAGTGCCTGAAACAATAAGAAAATATGCTACAAATAATCCCAAGGTAACTTAGCAATCCAAAGGTGACCTGAGTTCCTTACAACACTTCCAGGAAAAGGACTTTAGGCTCAATCTAGCACACAGGGCGGTTAATCTGACCTTTTGCGGAAGTCCACAAAGTAAGAGTAGTCCTGTGGGAAACTGAAGATGGTTGATAATCTGGTCCCTTCGAGCCATCAATAGGCTTGGCGCCGTAGTTGTCTACCCAGTCTTTGAACCTTGACAAAGTCCCTTTCTTCACCCCATTTGCCTCAAGCCCTTTCTTGATCAACGACTTGTTTCTTGGGTCGTTGAAGGTAGCCATCACATCAACTACGGTAATGGTCTTGTCCGCGTCAGAGTCCTCGCTCAAATTAGGAACATCCTTGTATGTAATTGTTGTTGGCTTATTAGACTGATCCGCTGGGAGTTTGAATCCAGCGGCGATGTCCATTCCTAACCATTTGGCCTGACTGAAATCAAGACTACGCTCATGAGCAATTTTATCGGCTAGTTTTTCCATTTGCGACATCGTGTCAGACACAACAGAGTCGCCCGGAAATTTTTCGCGGGCATCAGTGACCACACCCATAAGATTTTCAAGCATCTGATTATAGGACGTTTTAATCTTGCTTGTCGCAGTATTTGTAGCAATGCCGACCTTGACTGTTCCACCAAATCCAGCCTTTGATAGTGCCACTGCTGTACCGTCCAGGTCTTCGGTGTTCAGCTGAACTTGACATGTTCCCGGGGGTTTATAAGCAATGCGATCCATAAATTCTTGGAAGTTCAGTTGTCCGTCCGCAAGCGATCCTTTGTTGGCCACTTTTATGTTGTTTATCTGGTTTCTTGCCTTGAGAATAGGAAGGATTTTGGTCTGTTCAGCTCCATACAGTTTCCAGGCAAGATTGTAGGCATAGTAGAACCAAATCCTTTCATGTCCATGAGTTCCATCATTGCTCGCTGCCTGTGTCGCTCCCTGTGTAGCCAGAACAGCTAGCCATAATGCTAGTCAGTGGAAACGGAGTAACATTGTGATTATAATCAGAAGGTATACTATTTCCGAGGCAGACGATGGCTTTTGGCGAGGATGATAGAGCGGGGTCAATTGTATTTGCTTTAGTTCAACCTAGAAGATCGTTAGGAAAGTTCCATGAGTAAAATGATATGTATCTGCACCATGAAAGAACGATTCGTTCGGACTTTCTAGCTGAAGCTTGGATGCCAACTTACCAATTTCTCATGAACAGTGTACGTGCCAATTCAAAGAGCCCCGGTGTAGTCTTAGAGTGCTGGCAACTGCGGATGTAGATGGCATCTATACGTTTTCCTCAAAATTGGAGCTTGACCAAGATCGAAGGGGGGCCATGTCTCCAAACGCCGAATGCGGTATGCTCCGGTGTAGTCTGGCGATGGTGAAGGCGCATTTCACCACCCTGGCGATGAGTAAAGCCCACATAATGTAGTGATTATACAGGTGGACTTCAAGATGTTCAAGATCTGACATTCGTTAGGGCCGGGTAAGGTATGTTCTGCAAGTATTTAGATTGAGTTCATTATGGACCCTGGAAAACAGTAATCAGCGGATCCACAGTTCCACTCCAGCCGGGGCGTAGAAATTAGAGGTAAGATTAAGCATCGGGCCGAGATAAGCGAGGTACTCAAGAACAATTAAGCTTTCAGGGTACTTTCAACTTTAATTTACCGGTGCAATGGTTCAAATTACATGTCTTTCGCAGAGCACTGCATTAGTGTCATCAGCCTATGGAGCTTAATTTTTTCTCTTCAAAGGGTTTTACAGCGATTATTGGCTGGTAAGCATATCGCCTCCCTCATTTGGCTTAGTTCAATGGTTGAAGAGATTCTGAGTTCTGTTTTCACAGTTCCTACACTCCACTCCGTCAACGGAAATTGCAGATGAAGAAACAAAGGCTGCGGCGCAGCTTGTACACAGCTCCATATTCTCCAGATACCGAGGTATATGCAAGCGCTCCCGCTTCGGCGATGACTTCTTCATCAGTCTTGTCTCAACGCAAGACTACTCATATATTTGCTTCGATAGTACTGATTATATCGCCAACTTAATCACGTTGTCTAGGCATCATGGATTGATCTGGCCTTGGATTTCCATACGTCAAATAGGATCGGGCATACAATCAAACCTACGTGGGTTTTGATTATGTTTAGCTCTCCTCATCTGCACTCCTGGAGGGACTCAGCGCTCATCTTCGTATCACCCATGGCATTACCCCCGTAAACACAACGGCATTATACTAGACTTGCTTATGGGTAATGGTATACTGCTGACTATGCACTCGTCCTAGGACGACTGCCAATACCACTGTTTTAGTACATTAGCTGGTCCAATTTAGTCAATTGCTCGTTTTATGGCTTCATATCCCAACATTTCTAATCTCCAGAGTGATTTGAAGGCCGACGTGACCACGTCATGGGGCGAGCTTGATGGCACAATCGACTTGCATTGGAAACAGTTTCTTAGAGCTGGAAATTAAAGTGAATGTGGCTTGCAACAGCTTCGCGAACAAATACCAGGGTGCCATTCTGACTAGATTCCAAAGGGATTCGCACCGTCCAGTAGGCGATAGAAGCCATTTTCTCTTCACTGAGTGATTGGGGAATGTACCTGCCAAATCTGGAGGGTAAGCGCTCAAACTAGGTACCAAAAAACGTGACACCCATTGTCTGTTCTTTTGCACTCGCTACATATGAAAATACCATGCGAGCATGCTAGCATAAAATTGGGTTAAGTGGGGTGACCCTGATTACGGTGTGTCCTATTCAGTCTCACCGCTTTCGAAGTCAAGGATTTACTTTCATGGGCAGAATGATTCGATTGATGGCAAAACCAAGGCGGCGAGAGAAAAATTACGGCATTTAGGTACCTCCGTGAAGCAAGACATTCAATATCGTACGCTAGCAGGGATTTGGCCAATCAAGACATCAATACAAAAGAGTGCCTGTCACAACGAAGGAAATGTTCAAATGTTCATCTTCCTTCTTCTACATCCAACTATATCCCTAAAGTTGTCAATTATACTTCAAAATGAGTTCCGAAAAGTCAGATTCTCTTTCAGGCTTCTCAGACCTGGATGAAGATTTTTATTTCCCTTCGCACGATCCTAGAGCTTCGTCTTCAGAACAAGATTATGTAGACGCTATGCGAGGGGAATTCGTTCCAAAGAATCTTCGTCACGAGAAAATGATTTTTTGCATAGTTCATGGGTTGCGTTATAACATAGCATTCGCCGAGTCTGCGCCAATGAAGGAAATCTGTGCTAAGAGTACCAACAAGATCTTCGCCCGCGCCAGGAATGCTCGCTTAATCATGAGCGATAAGGTTCCGCTTATGAGAGATGACGAGGAAAAGCCTTACTGTATTTGGCATCCACAGGTAGCAAGCGTTGATACGTATCGTGAGTTGGTCCAGAAGTATCCTGATATGAAGTATCATGTTGGCCGAGCGTGTGCTGTTGGGGGTTATAGCGACTTGTATCGCGAACTAGACTTGCTCCCGGACATTTCTATTGCTGAGGAAGCAAGAGACAACTTGACAGTTGTCGGCTCGAAGGAGATATTCGATCTCATCATGTGCCAACCGACCCACTATGCCGCCATGGATGATTATACGCGGTCGGTGAACTGGAAAGCTCCACGCAGAGTAATAGGTTTAAATGGCGACACAGCAGTACTCTCGTCTTTACGTGCGACGGTTGAATTCACGGAAGAATGCTCGAGAACTCGTTCGTATTACTTCAACATTACGGAGGATCATTGCATCAGCGAGACCTCTTCTGGTCAAACCCACAGTCTTCCTCTAGCTCCTGAGCACGTGTCTCTGCTCTACAATCCGCTTCCGCTCCATCTTCCGACCATGAACAAGGATACTTTGATTCTTCATGCTGCTTATGAAGGTAACATCGATCGATACGCACGTCTACGACGTCCTGTCATGATCCCACAAGAAACCGAGGCCATAGTCCGTGGTATTTATCACCACACAGCTTTTGCACGATAGTGTCATCATCAACCAAATGTAGCCCATAGCCCTCATCTTTATGACGTCAGAGCGGCCGTTCTAGCCCGCTTCATTATGGTGAACGATTTATCGCGTATTACGGATCGAAGCACTGCCACCACAGATACTATCACAGGCGCAGAATATTGGCCTGAGCCATTTTTGATATGGTGGCCGCTTATTCCGCTAGAGTTGACACTCCGTGAGCTAGTGCGCCGACGTCCGAACATGCTGCGCCAGGTCGCCATGGCATGTATAGCTGCAGACTATTTTCAGCTGTGGAGTGAGCTTAGACCAGAGCCGGATCCAATACTTTGGGAATAAGCAACCAGCATGGGAACTGTAAACAGATGTCAGAACTACTATTCTGAAGATCTAGAACGCCGAGCAGCCGAGAAGAATATCAATCTGCTTGCGTACGCTCCAGAACGCGATGATGGCCTTGAGTGTACAAGACGAGACAAGGAGCCAACTGAGATCTTTCTGTCACCGTATATTCGTGCTGACGAGGACTTCTTGAGAGATTGGATGACTTATCGTAGCATCTACCCTGGATCCCAGGTGAATGCGGCGCGATGGGACTTATGCATTGCAGTGAGTGATGATCTTAGAGAACAAGTACGGAATGAGAATACCGATGATAGCCTGGATGAAAACTGCGGTTGGCCATATTCAATCTGGAATGTGTGGGGTTAATTAACAACTCACTTTACCATGTCAACGTGTTTTCAATGTTTTGCATTCATCAAAGTGGAGCAAATGCCGGATCGTTTCAAGGGAACAAGATAGACAACTCGAAAGCGAGGAATTCAAATTTGAGAATTAATTCAATATAACTTCTCCTCGCGTCTGGCTAATAGTTGACTTTAGCGGCGTCCTTAATTTTCAGGAAAGATGTCTGGGGAGAATGGATAAAGATAGAAGCCAACTATAGAGACTCATAACTAAATTTTAAGGAATGGATCTTTGTAAAGTGACTGTAAAATCAGAAAGTCTACATTTTTTTGTACCAAGCAATTTGAAGGAAATCGTGTGTATAATAGTAAATACCTTATATCCAGTCAGAATCTCGTTGCATGTTGATAGGAATGGAAGATTGATATATCCGTTCCATCTTCTCAGATATATAATAAACCATAATCTATCCTATCTAGCACCTAAATCCTAACATTTGATGACAGGTTCCGGCAGAAACAGGGCTACTAGAGTGGTGCACAACACACACTAGATACAGATTATTTTCGGAACTTGCGAGAAAGCCATAACACCGACGTTCCTGTGAAAGGTAGACCATCAGCGTCATGCATTTTGTACTTTAGATTAATTTGCTAGGTTATGTAGGAATGCACAGTCTCACTTGTTTAGTTGGGATCGTAGAGTAGAGTGGGCTTTTGGGACTGGATATCTAGGGGAGGTGGAAAGTAGTGAAGAAAAGAGAGAAGAAGATGAGTAAGAGAGGAAGGGGGGGGGATAAAGAAGTCAAGTTCTCGGATAACGTGTGTGACTCACATCAAAAGAAAGAAACGATCTATGGTGTATCAGACGAGATTGTTGTAGGCAATAGTGTACTATAGTGAAACTATGACGCGTATTAATGACAATGAAGGAATAGGCTAGTGGAATGCATGTAATATTGACTATGTAGATTGTATTAAGGCAAATATCTAACTACGAAGTGGAAGTGATATACACAGCACCTAAGTGCACGTGCCACAACTTCCAACACGTATTAGTAGGTATATTGATATGACAACTAGTACGTTTAAAAATGGAGTTATATCACTCTCATTTTATATACCTAAAGAATACTAGTAATATATTGAAACATTAAAATTTAATAGAAAATGTTTATTCCCATCTAAATTCAATTTGAAATCAGAAATAGAATTTTATTATTTAATATAAATAGAAATAAATATTTTATAATAAATTCTAACATTTCAATATATTACTAATATTATTGACTAGCTAAATAATCGCATTTACACATTGAATATTTTAATAATATTGAATTCTATATTATGTGTATGTGTATTTAAACAGAAATCAATATGCACCACTAAACTAACCCGTGTACAGATTACGGGAAATACTATTGCCTACACTGGACGAGATTAGTCCGATGATTGAAGCGATATGATAGTGATCATAACATAGGTAATTTTGAATAGTGGCATCTGATAGAAAGCTCTTGAATCTTTGAACGATGTTAATCAAATCAACGAGCAATCATGACAAGAGCAAATACCGAATATCGGGTGACAGGAAGTATGGGAACTTCCACAGATATACAACAGACATGAGAATCCAAATTTCAAGCTGAATCATGGGTATGACCCCAAGTATATTGAAGCTAATCTTGAAGATCCGGAGATCGGGATAGAACATCACTAGGCTGCTGTCGAGTTTTCCGATTCCATTTCCATCCCTGGTTCTGGCCGCTTTGGTTTGGCTTGGGCTACATGTTGAGCACATTATCTCGCAAAAGAAGAGTTGTTTAATGTAATCAATCGTCGCATTATAACCGTTAGAAGCTATCAAATATGTACGAAAATGCCGTATTTAGGTAAGCACGAATCTCTTATCTGCCAAAAAAATGACTATGACTTGTTAGAGCTTTTGCTGCTGTGAGGCTCTCCAGGATCTTAAGATACCTTGGTCCCCCATGGCTTCCAAGGCTCCGGGTTCCATCGCGTGACTACTGTGTTGTCACAGCCTCTTCTCTGCCGAATAAGAAAGAGAATTTTTGGGTTCTAATGGTCTGAGGTCTGCTGGGAGGTCTTCTGCCCTGATTCTATAGTCCCAAATGTTACTGTTTCCTAGACAACTCCCGCTCCTAGGCACGGGCTGTAAGACCTAAGTGCTACATGCTTCACCAACTGACAATTTATTGCATGCAGCCTCATCAAAAGAACCGTCACCGCAATCACAGTACTCAGAAAAAGAGCCATAATTGTGTACGTATCAACTCTCCACTAGGGCCTTCTCAAAAGAACGATATACTATTATTAGATAAAAGCTATCATTCAGTTATTTCCAGACTCCACGCTTAGCATTTCCAGCAGCTACATTTCGCTTATATACCCCCAAGTACCATCCTAAGCCTTAGGCAAACAACACTTTGCAACATTATAGCCATCACCCTCCTGCTCTCACTTTTGAATACTGATACTACTTCAATCCATTAAATATTGAGGTCATGGAGTCCTCGAAATATCGACGGGCTCGCCAGCTGAAACGTTTTACTGGAGACTCGTCGCACAAAAATGTGTTTCCACACTAATAATATGGCTTGGCAAAATGTACTCGTGGTGTTACAGGGGGGGCTGTGATATAAATCATGTAAGGATAAATATTGACATCAAGCCCTCCTAAATGTGTAATCAATTAAACAGTAATTGACCTTTCCCTATTCTTAAGAATAGGTTTGTAGAAAGACTAGCTAGAGTGCTTTGTTTAACTGTTAGATATAGTCTTGATATCCTCGGTCCAGATGTACTTTCCATCTTTCTTCAGTTATCCCGAGAGAAACTAAATTCCAGTGCTCATCAATTACATGTTAATACAAATTCCCTCTGATGATGCCTTCAGGATTCAGATAATGAGGTGTCCAAGAAGACTTAAGGCTACAAATTTGAGATAATCGACATTCCATATAAGTACCTAGGCAGCATAGAAAACTAGTATTCGAATGGCAGTCTTATCGCATATAATATCTATAGGGATTAACAATGACTTCGTACCCGAAGGAATGATGCTAAGATGGCATTGTTTCTATAATGAAAATTTGGGCTTGTTATAAAAACCGAGAAGGCGATATAGAAGATGCGAGAATTGGAAATATGTATAATTCAACAGATACAATGAATAGAAAATTCACATTTCATGCTTTATAACCGGGCAATGACTTCAAGTTTGATCAAGCTAGTCCGGAAATTTGGGAAATAGTGATTGATACCCCAGAGCAGAAACTATTATGACAAACAACTCTCCATTCGGATACACAAAAATTCATCAAAAGACAGATTCAAAGGACTCACATAAATACAATGCTGTGTTTGCCCATCAAGAGTATATCCATCCTCCTCTCTTACCGACTCCTTCTCCTCTGCCTTGCTAAGCGGTACTGAATTCGAGTGTTGCACCTACCCAATCATCGCTTCACAATTACGGATCGATGCTACTTACTGAATGTTCCAAGGAACTCCGCTCGCTCCCATTTCGGGTTTGCTTCTAACTTGAATGCAGCTCTCTTGAGTTTATCCGGTTTAAATCAAGACAAAGTCAAGAAATCTTACTATAAAGCAGCTCCCCTCACACCCCAGCTTCACTTCTCTCCTTCTTTCTCTCTTATGAACACCATTCCAAACTATAGCTCCAGCCGGATCATCTTTTAGCTCTCTGTATCCTTGTATCTTTCACTGATTAGAGTTCATTCTAAGAGGGTTAATGTGTCGAGTCTAACCCAGCTCCTAAATAAGATACTCCCCCAACGCTCATATTCCAGGATGACATTATCTATCAAAACAAACAGTCGATCAATTCTCACGCCATCTAAATCGTCATAAACGACATCAAAATTTCGCTTCAGAGTTCCAATCATCTCGTCGCATATCTGTTATCCTATCTAAATTATATGAATCCGTTCCCCGCATTCTTGTCCCGATCATGATCCCGTCTTTCTCTTCTCTCTTTCTTGCTTCTTTATTTAATACGATGTAATCTTAAAAAGTGAGTAATTTAATGACAACATCATCATATCCTATGATCCAGATTATCTTCGCATATCTGAACAAAATTGCTAAGGGGTATCGGTATCTTAATCCATCCCATATTCCGTCGTGCTTTTGCTCGTTTTCCTCTTTCCTAAAACGTACATTTAGCAATTTTATCTGATATGACCTTAGCAACACATCAAGCAATATCATCTACTCCATTCTTTTCCATTCCGTTCTTTTCTATTTCACTGCCTGTGACGCAATCCCAAGATTCTCAAAACCGTTTTAACTTTAAGCTTAAATTTAACATCAGATTGCCCAGGCTAACGTACACTATCACACCATACTATAATGCACTATATTAGACTACCAGACTTAGACTAGACAAATCCAGAAAACCCCCCAAAACATGATCAAATTAGCCCAACCACACCATACTATCCCCATTCTTTACATCACATCACATCATATCACACCCAAAAACCAGGAAACACAGTCCAAACAAGATTTCGCACCTTAAATTGTGTATATCTCAAACTAGATACTTACTACCTATTACACTACTATTCTCTTATACATACCTATGAGCTGACTCACACCTTAGCTTGTTCTGATGTTGGGAGGTGATAGATCCTAATAGATTTGTTGAAATTATGTTGTTTGTTGTATTGAAACTCCAGCACTATAACCTTGCTACTCAATAATACATAAGCAATAGATGAATATAGTTTCCAACAATCTGAACTGTAGTCCGATGTTTAGAGACTCTAACCTATGAACAGGTTAAATCATGAAACAGAAAGGCTTGAATACTAATCCAAAAAAAAATTCAGACGTTAAACCCCTATGAGCATCAGGCTTTAATTCAAACTATTGAAAGCTCTGTTTGTAAGCGATGTTCAAGTATTCAATTTCTGGCCACAACTTCAAAACTTTTAAGGTAACATAGTGAACCACGTTACATCAAGAAGAAGACCA